GATTTTATACTAAAATCACATGTAATTCAAACGATTTTCCCCTTGACTTGAACACACAGTCATAATGTTGCTCGCACAATTTTTTCGCCATTAATGTAAAATCACATGTAATTTTGTACGTGATTTGACCATTTTCGTATTCTCTTAAATAGTTAACATTCTCGTTTGATTTCCCCCCCCCCCTCTCTCTCTCTCTATATATATATATATGTATGTAAAATCACATGTATCAAATGAACTAATGGTTAAGAATCGTGTAAGAATATGATTTAAGGTGAGAAATGTAAGAAGTGATCTAGACCTTTGATCAATTTTAATCTCATCTCACCCCTACCCCTCGAATTGCGTTTGATGTTAATCCGGTGCATTCCAATGCATCTCATTAGTGTTAATCATCAATTACGATTGATTCAAGGGTAAAAATCTTTTGTTACCCTTCTTACGATAACTCTCACTCTCTTTGGAACACAACCCTATAACGTGCGTTATTATGCAACTCTTTACATTTGTACAATCAATACAACTCAATCGCAATCGTCTATTTAATTTGATGAATATGTGATTTCATAAAAAAATTTGATTGTTTTCTAATATAAAGTATTGATCATAATTAATGAAATCTAGTCATATTCCATAAATATTCAAATCATAATAAATGAACTCTCATCATTTTCATAAATGTCTCAATTAATTGGTTTGCATTGGTTATACAAATGGACTTGGTCGCATTTGAAATATATCATATATATATATATATATGTACAACCAATGTAACACAATAAATTGAAATATTTATGAAAATGATGAGAGTTCATTTATTATGATTTAAATATTTATGAAATATGAATACGGTTTATTAATTATGATTAATACTTTATATTAGAAAATAATCAAAACTTCTATAAATTACATATTTATCAAATTAAATGGACGATTGAGATTGAGTTGTATTAGTTGTATATATGTAAAAGATTATGTAATAACCCACATCTCTCTCTTTATATATATATATATATATATATATATATATAAGGTATATTTCTTTTACAACCTTGTGCATTTGTACAACCTTTGCAACCCAATTAATTGAGATATTTATATAAATGATTGGAGTTCATTTATTATGATTTGAATATTTATGGAATATGAATAGATTTTATTAATTATGATTAATACTTTATATTAGGAAACAATTAATTGATTAAAAATTGAATGGTTGAGATGAGGGTTGTATAGGGTRTAGRAATGGCAAAGGGTGTAGAATAACATCCCTCTATATATATATAGAGGTTGGTTATTATACAACCATTGACATTTGTACAACCTATACAACCCAATCTCAACCGTCCATTTCATTTGATGAATATGTGATTTCATAGAAGTTTTGATTATTTCCAAATATAAAGTATTAATCATAATTAATGAACTCTATTCATATTCCATAAATATTCAAATCATAATAAATGAACTTCCATAATTTCTATAAATATCTCAATTAATTGGGTTGCAAGGGTTGTACAAATGCACAAGGTTGTAAAAGAAATATACCCTATATATATATATATATATTTAAAATACAACAAATTTCACATATTTAAATATGATTTTTGGCTTTTCTTAAAACATAAAAAATATATATTGTTTGGTTATACGAGAATAAAATATGTTGTAGTAAGATGGGCTTTTTATGACACGTAAACATAATAAGTGGGAATAATTAACTCTCAAAAGACAAATATGCAATTATTAGAAAGTGAAAAAGATTCTATTAATTAATATATAAAATATTATTATGGAGAATTATAACATAAAAAAGTGTATGATATTAAATATTATATTTCTCAATTATATTTACAATTTTATTCAAACTCCAATAATTCATGAAAAAAATGATTTACCAAACATTTTTTTTATTAAAAATGTACAAATTTAATAGTCTCTAATAATTAAGTCGTCAGATAATTTCGACAAATAAATACTAAGAATAAAATAAAATGTACAACGTACAATATTTTTCATGTTATAAAAGTTGCATAATATGTGTCCGAAACCTGATATTTTGTTCAGTAATTTTTTTTGATTAACTTGGATATTCAACCCGTTATGCAAGCTGACTAATCCCAGAACGACCACCTGCTTTGCAGATAACCCGGAGTCACCGCATTTGAACATCCATGGCCACAAGGGAATTTTTATTTCTCATTGGATTTGAACCTGATACCTCCTGGTACTTTTAATCTTTGGAGCCAAGCTCAAACCAATCAGACACCACCTTTATGGTTTTGTTCAGTAATATTAATGTCATATCAAACATGATTTGACTTTGTGTTACCATTTTGACCTACCTGGTTTTTATTTTCAGACATAAATAGATTCAGTAAATTCTAAGTAGGGCGCAAAATACAAAATAAAACAAAGAGAAACTATTTAAAAAATCAATTAAAATGACATACAAGTGGTTTTTTTACAAGTGATTTTATTTCTTTTACATGAAAAAAAAAAAAAAAAAAAACGATTTAGACTTGCAATATGTAATACCACATGCAACCACATTACCAGTAAACTTAAGCATGAGAATGGGGCGGGGATGAGGCAGGGACCTCAATCCCCGTCCCCGTCCCTATCCTCGCTGGGGAATATAATCGCATCCCCATCTCCAACGAGGAAACAAACATTTTCCCGTTTATGTAAGTTATTTTAAACTAAATATGTGAGAGATAATATATGTTTAAATCACAAACATGTTCAATAAACCTAAAGCCAAGATGAATTTAATTTAATACGAAAAACCATAACATCATATAAGAATTAATAACCTAAAAAAAATCAATTTAACCCAAAAAAAAATTTAGTTACATGTTCTAAAAGATATTTGAGTAATATAAAACCATATCGAATAATATCCAAAAATTTATCGAGTAATTGTATTTTGACTTGACATTCAAAATATTACATATTAACATCCAAAAGATAACAATTTTAGATTATAAACCTAGTTAGAAAAATAAGAAATTATAAATTACCGCTTTAGCTGAAATTATATATATATATATATATATATATATATAAAGGGTACGGGGTGGGATGAGGAGTATGATACGGTTCTCGTCCCCGATTTAGCAGGGAATCCCCGTCCCGGTCAGGTTCCCGTACGGGTTGGGGTCAGTTCTCATGTCTAAGTAAACTCTAATAACTTCTTGTGAATTTAGAGAGTGCACATCAAATAAAAAAACTTCCCTAATTTTTAATTTAATGAGAAAGCGCCAATGCACCTTTTAGGCTTCTAGTTTTTTCTCCACTGAGTCGACATGACATAATGATAGCATGGATATCCTATCCCTCCTTAAATATGCCTCTAGCTTCGAGTTCATTCCTCCTTGTTCAATTGTCTTCCAGCATTTGCTTTATCCATCATGTTTTGGTATGTATTTAATCTCGGTTTTAAAATCACAGTTTCTCTATTTTCTAAACCTGTATTTATCAAACAGATATATGAACGATATGCAGCCCAACAACACCTGGGATCACTTGTAGATCCCAAGAGCATCATTAACAACTCTCCAAAATGAAGAAAAATGAAGCTTTTGTGTTTTTTTTTGCTCCAACAGCTTCTCTAAAATGGAGAAAATAAAATAGAGGTGACTCAGATCTTTCCATATCTGGAAAATTCCTTTAGAACTCCATTTTGTTAATCCCAAGATAAATAATACCAAACCAACCAATTAAATAGATGAAAACAAACAGAGAAAATATATTTATTATATTATTAAAATATTTTTAGTAATATAATTAATATTAAAATCTTAAAAATGAAGAAACTATTATATTTGGATATAATTTTTAAGCATTTTTTTTTTTATTTTGAAGAAATTATAAATAAAGGTTCGGTTGCATTAATAATAGAAGTTACAGTGATAAGAGTAGGGGCTGTTTACTTGCGGTTTAATTAAGCTTATTGGTCTATCTCGGCTTATTCACACAATTCATTTGAGTTGTTTACTTACGGCTTATTCATACAGAACATGACTTAATCACACAAATAGAAATGATGTGTTGTCTCCATTCAGCCACAAAAATGACACCCCTACCCTTTATTTAAAACACTGTCTCCTTCCCATATGAGACACCTTATCTTCGGTCTCTTTATGGTTTTTTGTTTTGATGTTCAAATAATTAATATTAGGGGGTAAAGTGTCATTTATGTTATTCAAATTGTTGGTTCAAATAAAAAAAAGTAAACAACACCCATTTATCCAGACAGACAAATTTATCCATGTAGATATCATTAATTTTTTTTGGTAAACAACCTTAAAAAGAAACCTCTATCCTTGAATCAATCATAATTGAATATCAGGACTAACGTGGTGTACCGAGATGCATAAGATTAATCCCATGATAAACACAATTCATAGGGTGAGCTGAAATTAAAATATTCAAAAGTCCAGATCATCTCTTAAGTTTTTCATCTTAACTCCTATTATCACATGATTATTCGTCTTATACATAAACCTTTGAAGACTCTTAGAAATACGTATAATTTTAACGTATATAAGGAGGTGTTTGAGATTGCTTATTCGAAACAACTTATTCTTTTCTACAAAAGCATTTATCAACTTATTATAAGTTAGAAGAGTTTAACTTCTTTAAAAACTTCTTATTACTGGTTTGATATCGATATAAATTATTTATCAAAACACTCAAAAATGTTTACTATTAATACCACATCAGAATAAGTTAATAAGTTATTTTTATAAGCAATCACAAACACCCTGAATATCAAATACTTAAAAAAAAAAAATTTAAGTTGAAATAAATTTATCGAGTCGACCTTCTTTTTTCTTCTAATTTATAATTTATTATTGGAAAATAAAATAAAATATATATTTTAATTAATTATATTCGCTATATTCCAGCTCTCTCAATGCTCCGCGTGTAACGGATTCTCTCTCCTCTCCAAATTTACTTCCTCTATTAAGATCACTCACTGTCCCAAACTCATCATCTCAAATCCACCCGTAAATCTCTCTCCACACACACAATTCCACCACCAAGAACCACCATAATCTTCTAGTGGAGGAGGTTAATGGCGGGAAACGATTGGATTAACAGTTACTTGGAGGCCATACTTGATGTAGGTCCTGGACTTGATGATGCAAAATCATCCTTGCTTCTTCGTGAAAGAGGTCGATTTAGTCCTACAAGATATTTCGTTGATAACGTTATTGGATTCGATGAGACTGATCTACATCGCTCTTGGGTTAAAGTAAGTTTGTTTTCATCAATTTCTATCTAATATGAGTAAGTCTCTGTCGATGTATTTAGCTCTGTTATGTTTCTGATTTCGTTTGCAAGAATCGAATCCAATGGAGTTGAATTTGAATCGAATCATGGTGTTTGTGTGTGTATTTTGATATTGTTTTATTTATTTGTGTGTGAAATATATGTATGTATCTATATGTTGCTCTGTTTTTTGTTGTTTGAAAATGGAAATTAATCATTATCGTATGTATATGAAGGCCCAAGCGACCAGGAGTCCTCAAGAGAGGAACACCAGGCTTGAGAATATGTGTTGGAGGATTTGGAATTTAGCTCGTCAGAAGAAACAGGTTCTTATGTCTTGAATTTATTTCCTTGCTAATTTCTCTAAATTTTGTTTTTTATACAATTAGGCGTTCATTCGGTTGGTGAATTATCTGAACTCAGGGAGAAAAAGAAGCTTAATTTTGAAAGCAGATTGATTTTTGACTGTTTTTGCTTTATGATATCAAGAGACATTGCCTGTAGACTTGTAATCTATCTAAATGATGAACTGTCTGCATAAATAAGAGCCTAGTATGAAGCTTAAGTTGAGGCAATTGTTTCTATGGAAATGGAAAATTTGATGACCAATCCATGGTCAGTTTATGCCTTGTGATAGAGAGAGAAATGTAAGTTAAATGCTAAATGTTTATGCAGATGGAGTGGATGGATTTTTTACTTTGACTTGGAAAAGAGCTTGATTTGAAGGGCGAATTATGTTGTTGTTGCAAATTGAATATACTGTGTTTGGTGGTCTATTTGATTTTGAGACTTACCAATCTGTCCATTACATGTGGAGTTAAATGCTTTAATTACATATGACTAATTGTTAGGTAATGGGTTTTCCTTATTGGGAATTTTCTGGTTGGGCATGTTTGACGTAGATGAAGATGTGTGACATGTTTGTAATTGTATTTAAATCTCCTTGTAGCTTACAAGTCTCTGTATGCTAAACTAATTGCTGGAGACAAATGCTATTGAACAATATTGGATGCTATATTAGTACATATGTATCAATGTTTTTTGCATGTATACAATTTTCTTAGATCATGCATTACTTCTTCCCAGAAAAGATTCCACTTTACAAATTCTTTTGTCTCACAACCAGATCCCTATTTCAAAATCTAACCATAAGGTGAATTTGATGTTTGTAACTCATCATCACTTCCTTACATATTGGCCAATGAGTCATTTGTCAAGTTGTATTCAGTTATGAGTGAAATGGTCTACAAAATTGTCCTTCCAAAATTTTCTAGACATTGAAATGGATTCTTCTCTTGGGATGGAAGGATCAGGTAGTCACTCTGTAAATGTGTTAAGCTGAAAATGAGAAGAGAAGAAGGATGTTTATTTTTGTCAATACATATATAGTACAGATTTGAGATATATGGCTACTTAGGGGTATTGTTATGATATGTTGTATGCTTTATGGTATATGAACTCTTATGGCATTTTGAATTTAGGCTGACAAACTTCTTATTTGCCTTTCTCCCGACATTGCCTTCGTTAATGCTTTCAATTTGTTTATCAGCTTGAGAATGAGGAAGCTCATAGAGTGGCCAAACGTCGTATTGAGCGTGAAAAGGGTCGCAGAGAAGCGGTTGCTGATATGTCAGAAGACTTATCAGAGGGGGAGAAAGGAGATACTATCAGTGATGTATCTGTTCACGGTGAAAGTAACAGAGGTCGTTTGCCCAGAATGAGCTCCATTGATGCCATGGAGGCATGGGCTAATCAACAGAAGGGGAAAAAACTGTACCTTGTATTAATAAGGTTTGACTCTCTATTTCACCCTTTACTCTTATCAACTAACTAAGCTACACGTGACTTGTTAATATTTTTGAAAAATTCAAAAGACACAGACCAATCTTAATCTATTCGATGTTAGCATGGATGGAGATAAAGTGATCAGTAGTTTGTTCGTTTTGGTTCTCTGGACCAACTCTTTATTTGAAATGGTAAAAGTAACATGTGTTTTCAAGATATAAAACTACTTGTTTCAACTTTCGTACCTCTATCATGAAAAGGTTTGAAATGTTGCATGTTTTAGAAATAATAAAATTTGACATCTCAAATTTCAACATGCAAATGCAAAAATTAGTTAAAGTATGACCATTCTTTTGATAAATTTATTAGGTAATAGCATGATGTGTTAGCTTGACTAGTTGTGTGGGGAACTACTTGACTTGAAACAAATACCTTACATTCTGCACTTTCCTTGTCTTGTCTGCATGACGATCTTTGTGTGCTTTCCTAATCAAATTTCTTACAGCCTTCACGGATTAATACGTGGTGAAAATATGGAGCTTGGTCGTGATTCTGACACAGGTGGTCAGGTATGTTTCACCAATTCCAGTCTAGCCTTTGTTCCTTGCTGCTGATTTGGAGTAATCCGAACTTTCTTGAAATTCTATTTTCGCTATTGTTTTTTAATGATGCACAATGACTTGCCTGTCATGTTTCTTCATTTCCAGGTTAAGTATGTTGTAGAACTTGCAAGAGCTTTAGCTTCAATGCCAGGTGTCTATCGAGTTGATTTACTTACTAGGCAAGTAGCCTCTCCAGAAGTGGACTGGAGTTATGGTGAACCAACAGAAATGCTGTCCCCACATAATTCTGATGGTATGACAGACGAGATAGGAGAGAGTAGCGGTGCTTATATAATTCGTATTCCGTTTGGTCCTAAAGATAAATATATTCCCAAAGAGCTTCTTTGGCCTCATATCCCTGAATTTGTTGATGGTGCACTTTGCCACATAATGCAAATGTCCAAAGTTTTGGGTGAGCAAGTTGGTGGTGGGCACCCAGTCTGGCCTGTTGCCATCCATGGCCATTATGCGGATGCTGGTGACTCAGCTGCTCGTCTATCTGGTGCTCTAAATGTACCCATGCTTTTCACTGGTCACTCACTTGGACGAGATAAATTGGAACAACTTCTGAGACAAGGCAGATTAACTAAAGATGAAATCAATACTACATACAAAATAATGCGCAGGATAGAGGCTGAAGAATCGAGCCTTGATGCCTCTGAGGTAGTCATAACTAGCACCCGACAGGAAATAGATGAGCAATGGCGGTTGTATGATGGTTTTGATCCAGTGCTAGAGAAGAAACTTCGAGCTAGGATCAGGCGTAATGTGAGCTGTTATGGCAGGTTCATGCCTCGCATGGTGGTAAGTGCCAAAAGTACCCACTATCCATGTCTTTTTTTGTGGTTAATGTATCTCCTGTTTGCTTGACTATTTAATGAATCTGTCCACTGTCCTTTGTGTGCAATAAGCAAAGCTTGCTTGTTCTTTGTGCTCAATCTGTCTATTCTAGAACGTCAATTATATTATGAGGTAAAGGTTATCATCTTTTTGGTTTATTTGGCTTGATTCTGGGGTGAGACTTCAATTTAAGAAACAAAATTTGTTGCACGAGGAAGGGTTAACACCTAACCTCCTTCACTTTCAGGTGTAAGTAGGTGAACACACAGATGATACTTTTAAAGGAGGTGCTATTTTGGTTGTTCTAGGGCTTCATACTCGATGGTTAGTGGTTGAGCCAATGCTTTTAATAGTATGAGGTGATGTTTTGATCATGGTGGGCAAAAAATGATTTGATAGAGTAACTTGACAATTGGTCTAAAACATTTGATGGAATCTTCCTTTTACCATAATTTCGGATCCTATCCATCTTTTTTTTTTTTACATTTGGAATATGTTACTTTTTGGATACATTATGTAGACACAAAGAATTTTGACATTTTTGTCACAAGGATAATATTCGACAGGAGGCACAACAACAGCACACAAGTTCAGAAATCTAAAAGGAATGCATCACCTCTTATGATATTGTAGGATTCAAATAGATTTCTTTCAGGTAGAAAACTTAATGGTCTATGAGGCGACCTGTAATAACTTCAGACTATCTTGATACAAAAGAAAAATGTTTTCCAGTTAGCTCAGTGACAAATTTTTACTGTGCTTGTTAGAGTTCATTCTGCTGCAATTCGAAAATTTTGACTGTTCAGTTAAGCCCTAGCTATTGCTTAACTGTAATCAAGATGTAAACTTTTCTTAGGACAGTATTTTTATAATAATGCAATGTGATGTATCCACCATCTTCTATTTCTGTTCTTCGTTCATTTGTGTTCTGTCTTTTGTTTAGTTACAGAATTGATTAGTTTAGTTACCGGCAGGTAATTCCTCCGGGGATGGAGTTCAATCATATTGTTCCACATGATGGTGATATGGATGGTGAAACAGAAGGAGCAGAAGATCATCAGGCTTCTCCAGACCCACCTATTTGGACAGAGGTTCAAGTTATTTCTGAACAATTTATTTCTGATAGCTATTGCATTGTCTCCTTGCTCCATGTTTCGTATATTTCTTATTTCAGTCTCTTTCCATTTTATTACTCCGTCCGTCCCAAAATAATTGTCCACACTATTATTTAAGTGTCCCAAAATGAGTGCCCACTTTGAAAAGTAAGTACACACTTTCAAATTCTTCCTTTAACTATGAGATGGAGAAATTAATTACTCCCTCTATAATTAAGGGTAAATTTGTCATTTAGTTGATAAAAAAGTGTAATAATTACACATTTCTAAAACTATGTGCCTTATTCATTATGGACATTTATTTTGGTACGTAGGAAGTATTATTCTTAAGAATCACAATTCCCTATCTTCATTTCATGCAGATAATGCGCTTCTTTACCAACCCACGCAAGCCCATGATACTTGCCCTTGCTAGGCCAGATCCCAAAAAGAACCTTACAACTTTGGTTAAAGCATTTGGGGAGTGTCGTCCATTAAGGGAGCTTGCTAATCTTGTACGTTCAGATTACGCCGTTTCTTCGTGTATATGCTTTTCTGGCATATGTGATTGAATTCGTTTTGTCATTAATGTATACTTTTCACCTGCTTTTGCAGACATTAATAATGGGAAACCGAGATAACATTGATGAGATGTCGAGCACCAGTGCTTCGATGCTTCTTTCAATTATTAAGATGATTGATAAGTATGATCTTTATGGTCAAGTGGCATATCCTAAACATCATAAGCAGCATGAAGTTGCTGACATCTACCGTTTAGCAGCAAAGACCAAGGTAACACTTAGAAACTAATTCATATCATGTTTGGCATTGATAACATTCCCAAGTTCCCGGGGCATGCAATAGGTATGCTGACCATTCGTGATCAATTTAGTTCCAATGCCCTTTATATGTTCTGGATGCTTAGCACTGATGCAATTATGTAGAACCATACCAAACCAATCAAACTCAGCATGTCCCACGTGGAGGTGGGGTCTTGGGAGGGTGAGATGTATGCATACATGACCTCTAACATGAAGAGTAGAATGGTTTTTTCCATGCAAAGTGTGCGAAAAGAAAAGATAAATTCTAAAAATTGAACAGAAAAAGAGCAAGAACATGAAAAAGGAAGGGCAATGCTACAATTGAAAACAAGTAGAAATAAGCAACAACATTCAAAGAAACAGATAAACAAACAAACAATCGAACCATGCAAATGGAAGCAGTACAAGATTACCATAACCAAAGTAGGAAGACCGATATACCCTAGTTAACCCAGGATATCTAAATGCCTACCTACTAACTCTACACCCATCCTTTACCTCTCCAGATCCCTTCCTCACATCTAGGCTAGCTACCACCCCTATTCAACTACCCTAATCTTGCCTCTCCAAGAACTCCTATATGAGGTCAATAGTGGTCAAAGACTAGTATAACAACTTCTTGTGTTCTACATTTCGGTGATCAGTCTTTAACATGTGTTGCCCTTAAACTGGAGAGATTTTGAGTCAAGGCAAAAAAGGGGAATTATAACAGTCATTAACTTGTTTTGGCAGGGTGTTTTCATAAATCCAGCTTTCATAGAGCCATTTGGACTCACTTTGATCGAGGTGATTAATCTTACACTTTTAGCAATTACATGCACAATTCAATATAACACCATTAGCCTCCTAACTCATTACCTTTCATTGAACAGGCTGCTGCTCATGGGTTACCAATGGTTGCCACGAAAAACGGAGGCCCGGTGGATATACATCGGGTGAGTTATATATGTTTTATCGAATGCTTTTTGTCAGTTTTATCAGGACTAGTCCAGTGAATTGATCATCTCATCATTTTCAGGTGCTTGACAATGGTTTGCTTGTTGATCCCCATGATCAACAATCAATAGCGGATGCTTTATTAAAGCTTGTGGCAGATAAGCAACTTTGGGCCAAATGCAGGTCGAATGGGTTGAGAAACATCCATCTGTTCTCATGGACAGAGCATTGCAAAACTTACCTCTCACGAATAGCGAGTTCTAAACCGCGGTACCCGGGGTGGCTAAAAAATGACGATGATGATGAAAATTCAGAATCCGACTCACCAAGTGATTCCTTAAGAGATATGCAGGATATATCTCTAAATTTGAAGTTTTCGATGGATGGTGATAGAGGAAATGTCGATAACCCTGAAGATCGAAATAGTAAACTAGAAAACGCTGTTTCCTCATATTCAAAGGGTGTCGGGAAAGGCACACAAAGGTCAGTTTCTGGAGAAAAGCACGAACAACTTAAGTTCCCTGCATTGAGGAGGAGGACACACATTTTTGTGATTGCTATCGATGCTGATGACATTGGAGGTCTTTTTGAAAATGTTAGAAAGATACTTGAGGCTGTAGACAAGGAGAGGAGTGAAGGTTCTATCGGATTTATATTGGCAACATCTTTACAAATGGCGGAAATTCATTCTTTTCTTGTGTCAAAGGGTGTGAATCCTTCGGATTTTGATGCTTTCATTTGCAATAGTGGTGCCGATCTTTACTATTCATCTTCGCATTCTGAAGATAACCCATTTGTATTTGACTTATATTACCATTCGCATATTGAGTATCGATGGGGTGGTGAAGGACTCCGTAAGACTTTGGTGAAGTGGGCATCTTCTATAATTGACAAGAAGGCTGCGAATAAAAACGAAGAACATGTGGTTACAGAAGATGAAGAAATTACAACCAACTATTGTTATGCTTTCAATATTCACAAGCCTGGACTGGTTAGTTCATTTATGATGATATTCTCAACCTATTTTATTTCACACTATGGCATGAAATATTCACATAATTTGATGTTATATTGAGTAAATATTCGCATAATTTTTCGTATGTTTTCATTTTACCTTTTGGGGGTAAACGTGAGGACTACGTACATCCCCCCCCCCCCCCCCCCCCCCCCCCGACCCTGCTCTCGGATGGGATATATTGGTTTGGTTTGGTTTACTAGTTTGCTCAAACTCGTGCACAAGCTGGGGGTCTTCACTTATTTATCTTAACCTTAGGTTAATTTACTTTGCCGAAAGGGAGCAAAATTGTGGAAACAGTCATGCTCTACCCTTTTAGGGTTGAGGTGAGGTCTGTATACATCTCAACCCACCCTACTTCCGAGTGGGATTTACCGAGTCAGTTTGGATTGGTTATCATATTTCTTATTTTAGTGGTTCATTTTGTAGGTTCCTCCTGTTAAGGAGCTTCGGAAGTTAATGAGGATTCATGCTCTTCGCTGTCATGTTATTTATTGCCAAAATGGCAGGAAGATAAACGTGATTCCAGTTTCGGCATCTCGTTCTCAAGCCCTCAGGTACTTGTAATTTTCGTGTAATATATTTTGAAGTATATAATATTTATAAACCGCAAATACTTAACACACACTCCTCACTTTGGTAAAGTTTGAACCCTTGATCTCCTAAGAGGCTGAGCTCTAGCAGTAACTATGGGCGGACCCACATGGATAGATACGGTGGCACGGGCCACCACTTCGTAGTTTCGTAAGGGAAAAAATTATGTTTCTGAAGGTTGCCACTGTGTTGTTATGTTGGGTGCCGCCATATAATTTTTGAAACTGAAATGTTAACTCAAGACGTTAATGGCCAAGATGATAAATGCTCCCGTCTTTGTACAAAAGGCCCAGGTTGGCACGTTCGAGTCCCACAGTTGTCAAATTTGTTGTTTTTTAGCTTAAATTTTGACTCTTTTTATATACCTCGCGTGTTTTTAAAAATATAAGACGGGACTTGGACATGGGTCTTTCAATTTAAGAACAAGGAACCAACCAACAAATCTATATTAATATTGTGAACTCATAGTCAAATTGTGCCTCCGCTTAAAAAAGAATTCCAGGTCCAGCTTTGCCAATAGCCCTGGTAAGGATGAGTCAACGACCCTTTGGTCTTGCTATACATTTTCTGACCATGGTTTCGTGATTTCCTTTTTGTTTCGGGTGGAATGGTTGACACATTATGGCCGAAACTTCAGGTACCTGTATCTCCGGTGGGGTATGGACTTGTCAAAGGTGGTGGTTTTTGTCGGAGAAAGTGGGGACACGGACTACGAAGGGTTTCTAGGCGGCATTCACATGTCGGTTATACTGAAGGGAGTCGGCAGCAGTACAAGCAACCAACTTCATGCAAACCGAATCTATCCACTTTCAGATGTTACACCAACCGACAGCCCCAATATCGTTCAGACACCCGAAGAATGTAGCAGTGCTGATATCCGTGCTTCCTTGGGAAAACTCGGAGTCGTGAAAGCGTAAAGAATTACATTATCGCCCCTCTCATTCGACACTTGACTCATGGGCTTAGGTTGTTGCATTCGGTTCTACATCCCAGGTGAAAAGTTTTTCTTCCTTTAATTCTGCATTCTCATGAATACTAGTTTATGAGACTAAGAAAGTACCATATTCTGTACAGAAGCTATATAAATGAGGGTATATTTGTAATTCTCTTTGTGCACCTGGTCCCTTCTATTCTTTCGTGGCCTTCCTTTGAGTTTTTTTAGTTCTTCAAAAGACCTTAGAACGCTAGGGGTGGAAAAAAAATACCCAACTCGCTAACCCAACTCGAACCCAACCCAAAATTAGCAGGTTGGATTGAGATTTTCAACCCATTTAAATAAATGGGTCAACCCGTCTAACCCATATAAAAAAATGGGTTGGATTGAATTTTTTGACCTGTTTTCAATCAATTTAAAATATTATATTTTTTTATATTATTCTTAATATTATATCTAATATTCTAATTTTTAATTTTGTTTTATTCTTAATTAAAAATCCTACCATCATGAGATGAAACTCCAAATTTCAATCGTCTCCATTACTCTTAATCACCTTGAAACCCTAAGAAAACCCTTTAGTCCATTACTCCATTATCGCCTCCAAAGTCCAATCAACTTATTTTGAACAATATATTTGTTGTGGTTGTGTTTTATTCAAACTTTGAACAATTTGTTTGTATTTGTGGTCGTGTTTTATTTAATTTTTTTTTTAAATAGTCTAGCCATTTTTTATTTAATATTAAATGAATCAACCCAGGTTCAACCTATTTATTTAACAAGTTGGGTTTTATGTCAACCTATTTAGGTAGTAGGTTGGGTTGAAAAATCTCAACCCATTTAATTAAATGGGTTAGATTAGGTTAAGATTTTCAACCTATTTAATAAAAAGGTTGAATCGGAACCCAACCCAACCAGACCCAATACCACCCCTACTAAACGCAAATGGGTGAATTTTTGTTGCCAGTTTTTGACTTATAAAAAGTAGAATCAAACAAATATCAAGGGATATTTACGTCATTTGGACTCAGAGTTTTTTTTTTTTTGGTGTTGCAAAAGGGGGGGGGGGGGTGGGTTAAGCACACAAGCAAAACACAGCTTTTTGTTCCATGGAACTTTATAATTCTCCCCATTTTAGCCTTGAAGCCAACAGCGGACCCAATATTTTTATCGAGCGGCTGCATCTTTAAGATGGATCAAAGGTTTGCAAGTCACCAATGTGTTTTTAGTTAAATTCAACTGTTTCGAAGGATTTTTTAAAGTTTTTTGGTTAATGTTGTGGGACGTGTTTTTATTTTTTTTAGGTGATTTCAAGAGATTTTTATGGTTTTTTTGGTTGATTTCAAGGTACATTTTTCGGGTTTTTGATTGATATTTATTGAATTTTCTAATATCCCGGAACACCCTTAAAGTTTAGCGGGTACACCTTTCATACCTCGAATAAAATTCTATTTCCGAAATAAGTTAAGCAGGTGCACGAGACCCTACTTGGGGCTTCATAGGTCTGCCACCGCTTGAAGCCATACCAAAAATTATCATGGTTACCTACCTTTTATTTTGGGTATTTACGCTAGTTTAGGCGCACTGGCTAATTCCCTGGACGAAAACATATGATCTAAAGTTATCGCATAAACTTCCGTTAAATAGTCAAAAACAACTATTTCCTCCCGCACCCCATGGTGAAGATTCTGTAGAATTTCTTTTGATAAACGTTGATTTTAATAAATGTGCATGTAAAATATACGTTATACTTCCGAAGACAACTTCATAAAAGAGACTAAGGGAATATTTGGTTGATTTTTCATTAAGTCATGTACGGATAAAACAATCTGTGTTGCTTAATTTGTTTGTATAAATTGAGAAGGGTTTTTCTGTGGGAGGATTTTTTTCATAGATGGAAGGATCGAACTTTTAGTTGGGAGGGGGAGGCTGAAAAAAATTGGCTTCCTGCTTGTAGCTTTCTCGAAGCTCACTAAATAAGCTACTTTCTGTATCATTAAACCACTACCAAATAAGTTATGTATAAGCTGTGAATTCCATTAAGCTATTAATCTGCTAATAATAGGTCATAACAGTTATGTGATCTATACAACCTTGTTTTGGCTTAATGCTGAGTTCAAGTTGCTCGCGCTTCTTTCCCTTTGCACGACTTGGTCGAACTGGAGCTCACTTTGAACTTGCCGGAGCTCAACTATTTGCTATGGTGATTTGCATCGCGTTAACCACTTCGCCCGATACTTCATCTTCATGACAACGCCAAGTTGCATGCAAGGTATCGAAAGTCATTTGCATAATGACAGTTATACCATGTATATCTTTATACAATATATAATCGATCAATCATGCTCAAAATCGAGCATTTTATTGGTTATTATGCTAAGCAACATTAATGAGTCGTTTGGCTTACAAGCCCTACATCAATCATAAAAACGATGCCAGTTACTTCTATGACATGTTGTGCTACTAACCCAACATTAGGACAACGGTTTCACACAGAACTCCTTGTATTTAAATCGCACTAATAACTTTATCTGTTGTCGGGTTTTTTCTTCTGATTTCATGAGAGCTTATAGGAGCATAATACTGATTTCTCTTCATTATATTGATCAACAAATTTGGTTAAATACTCATCTTCCTCGACTACTGCATACAATCAAGACCCCCCGAAACACATTTCATTTAAGCATGTTCGAAATTATTACCATTACAAGTCGATCACTTTAAACTAATGCCATATTGGGCTTTCCAATATTACGCAACAAAGTCGCTCACTTGAATTTAGAGATGCACAAAGCCCTAGACTTTCCAAGCCTATTTTCAATGAAAAAGCTCGGGCTTTTTAGGCCTAGCCCGAACTTTGGGGTTGAAAATGGGTCCCATCAGCCTTTTTCAGGTTTAACCGGGCTTTTCTAGGCTTTCCCCTTTGAGTCAGGCACATGTCATACCTAGGCCGGGATTCGGACTTGAGCTTTTTTCTGCATCGCTACTTGAACCAAACCAAACGGACCCCATATAAAATAGTGTCGAGAGAAGTAAGATATAAGCAGACTTGTTGTAAGACAATTATTATTGATCTACCGCATATGCGTAACTCTGGAATTGCATATGGAATCGCTTCCATATGGATTTTTGAAGATGATGAAAAAGGGGTCGTCACACCTGTCATCTACTCAAAGAGTAGAGTTATTGTTTCTGTAAAAACGCTCGACATATGAGCAGAAGAACAAGCAGGAAGGTAGAAGTCCCTCACTTGAAGGTATAACTTTCCATGCAAGATGTACAAGTCATGATAGAGGGGGTTTACCTTTTTCCATGGCTCAAAACCTCAAACCTCAAAATTTAATGTACAACTTTCCATGCAGGATGTACAAGTCATAATAGCATAATTGTTCTCTAGAAAATGATTCACACAATATTGTTAACCTAAAGCAAGGTACAACCTTCAATGCATGATTTGTATAAATCACTATAACTCTAAGAAAACAATTCACCTAATATTCAAACATGGTGTGCATAGCAAACCAAAATCAAGAAAATAACGTTTTCTAAAGCTGAAACTAATAAATCTACAGGAAGGTATAACTGTTCAATGTAAAATGTACAAGTCAACATAGCGCTGCAAAAAGAGTCTTCCGAAACTATGGCACAATTGTGTATCACTAACGGGGATACGATTGAATCCGAACATAAAAAACCATGTAGCACTCTCAAATTGAACGATTTCCTTCGTAAAGGAGGCAACCATCTTTACATTCATATGTGAATAGCATTTCTAACCATTGTACCTAGTCTAGACTCTTAACCAACCGTTGTACTTTCAAGATGTAAAAAAGGAAAGAAAAGAAATTGTAGTTGGCAACAATACGCAAAAATAACCATCATATTTACCGAACTTTTCGGTGCGTGCAGTACAACAAGACGGGATAGATTTGGTGTAAAACAGGACATGACAGAACATAAATGAGCTGAACAAAACTGCAATTTTTTGTCCCACCAAAATAGGTAGAACGAAAATAAGGGAGACAAGACAAGAATAGTAAATTATTCTCGCCATCCCAGAGCAAGTGTCCACTGTTCACTTTCAAAAATTATGTGCATACTTTTCAATTATATTCTTAATTATGAGATAGAAAAATCCATTACTGCCTCTATAGTTAAGAGTAAAATTGTCATTAAGTTAAGTAAAAGTATAATAATTACATATTTCTAGAATTGTGTGTCTTTTTCATTGTGGACATTTATTCTGGAACATATGGAGTACTAAATTACTCGCGTCAAATTAAAACCTTAAAAGCTTTCACAATACTTTCATCCGCCTACCTTAGTCTCAACTCGACAGACCCGACTACGTACCAAACGTACCCTTGTAGATCTTCACACATTGTTGCCAACTACATATTTTTTTTTTTTTTGCATTTTTAAAAGCATAAAAGTTGGTTAATATAAGTATAGAGAAAGACAGGACAAAACAACATCCAAGACTACAGGGAGTAACTCGGTAGCCACTAGCCAGAATACGGCCACTGCCATGATGCAGAATGAAGTGAAAATTCAGAATAAGAAAAAAACTTATTGCTCTGAACTTGGAGCTTTTATATAGAGAAGGCTAAGGAGAAAACCCAAAAAATAAAAATTGAGGAACACTCTGATAACTATTTATTTGAAGGATATGTCGATGTGCATACCGAACAAATTGCTTATAAATTACTTGTATGCACATGTGCATACTGTCCAGATAAATGGCTACCAGGGTGTTCCTCAGTTTTTCATTTTTTGCGGTTCCCGTGAACCTTACCTTATATATATATATATATATATATATATATGCGAAAGATCGTGTGAGAAGGAGAATTAAGATGAGGAGTATAAGAAGGGATATGGACCCGTGATCACTTTTAATCTCAAACCCACCCATGGATCACGTTTGATACGGGGATTGATCTGCTTCATATATCTCATCCTAATGTGCATCCGAGGACGGAGATCCCTTCTTACGCTTCTCACCGGAAACCAACTATATAATATATATATATAAAGGGAGATGTTCATTTGAGAAATGATAAGTATTTGAGAAGTAAAGAAGTGATCTTAGCCTTTCATACAGTCAAAATTGGTCGACTATTGTGGCTTTGACTGGTCAAGCGAAAAATAGAGGGATAGTTTCGTAACTTTTACAAATAGGCGACAAAAGTGCATTTGTGAATCCATAGTTTATATGTGAATTACACGGGTTTACATATGCATTTTTTTACGCATATTTATAAAAGTTACGAAATTACCCTCTATCTTCCACATATCATGCGAAGAATTATCCGATGCTTTATCATCAAAGCAGCAAATCTTGACCCGACTTCTCAAATGAACCTATGGCTATATATACATGTGTGTGCGTTTTTTTTATTACAATCCTTTGTTTTCCAAGGACTATTTCACCTACCTACAAACACCAAGGAGAGGTAATGGTGTTTGGTAAAAGAAAAAGTCTCTTGATGGTTGCTTTTACCTCTGAGCGATTACTTTATCCTGGTCTCTCCAAACCATTCAGAGCTATGTTTTATCAAGTCTACGCTCTCCTTTCCTTACGTCACTCAGGAATCTGCCCGCTCAAGCTTTTCAGGTACATGTATCAACTTTGATTCATAACCATCTGTTTTGTTCAATCGATCTGTTTTTGTTCGATTTCATAACCATCTGTTCGGTTCAAACGATTTGTTTCTGTTCGATTCATAACCATCGACTGAAACCACAGATTGAAACCATAAGTTTGCATCGATTGAACCCTATCACATTTTCTGGTTGAAACCACCGATTGAGACCGTCAATTGAAACCAACTGCCCATCTAATTTTCCATTTGTTTGTATTCAAACGATTTGTTTCAGTTCGATTCATAACCATCGACTGAAACCATCTCATTTTCTGGTCGAAACCACCGATTGAAACCAACTGCTCATCTCATTTTCCATCTGTTTGTGTTCAATCGATCTGTTTTTGTTCGATTCATAAGCACCGATTGGAACCATCTTTTTGCATCAATTGAAACCATCTCATTTTCTGGTCGAAACCACCAACTGAAACCATCTACTGGTCGCATTTTCTGCTTGAAACCATCTGTTTGCATCGATTTAAACCACCGCTTGCATCTGTTTGACCGATTGAAACCGCTGATTGTGTTTGCCATATGTTGAAACCATCTGTTTGCATCTCAAGAGGAATCTACCACATTCAAACTTTTGAAATTTTATGGCTATTAAAAGAATCGTTTTTAGAAGAATCATTTATGGATGATAAACAATAGTTATCGAAGACCGAATCCAAGACCAGCCTCATGATCAATATCTTATACACAATTGGGGATTTTTGCCTATATGTTAACATTATGTTCATCGACCTTGAACTTTGATTTATGTCATGTTGGCTAAAAAAATGACTAAATAGATTAAGTACCTGCTGAAGCGCGAGTGAGAAATATAACATGACTGCATTGTTTCAGCTTCGCGATCTCTTCTCGAGTCTTCCTACACACAAGATGTACTTACGTTGCAGTAAGATTCGGGCTATCTGGTATTGCTGATAGCGCCAATGCAGCAGCCTCATTGGCACCCTTCTCACCTTTGGTGAGGTTTGAACCTTTGACCTCCTAGGAGGCTAAAAACTACGATACCTCAAAGGCCCTTTTGGTTGCACAAAGTTATGTTGTTGACCACTAGACTGAGGGATTTTCAAATTTTGAGTCCTTCTAACACTTTTTTTGGTCTGCTCTGCAATTTATCTTTACTTTCCTATATTTATTCTGTTAAAAATCATAATTCTTTTTGGCTTCTTGTAGCTTGGTGTCTAAGAAGAAAACAAAAAAGGAAGTTTATTTGTATCACCATATCCATCTAGGGCACCATAAAACAACCTTTCAACCAATAAACATGTAGTTAACACCTTAATAGTTGTGGAAACTATAAGGGAATGGCAAGCACATTGGCACACATTTAACCCTGTTAACAGCCTTTCAGTCTGACACCGGTGATAAGCTATTCCTAGTGTTTGGATGAGAAAAAAAAAACTGCTTGTACCGGTGCCAAACCGGTAATAAGCAGTTTTTGATAGGTTAGCCTAACTAATGAAAATCAACTTTTACCGGTTTACCATTTTAACCCTGTTAACAGCCTTTCTATACCCTAATCTCTCACAACAGATACGACTCTTCTCTCCCTCAGATATGAACCAGAGATCGATCTCGATCCGTGGCTGTGAATCTCGATCCATCTCACAACAATACGAACCACTCTCTTCACAACAGAGATCGATCGATCTCACAACAGAGGACCGCCTGTGAATCTCGATCCATCTCACAATAGATACGAACCACTCTCTTCACAACAGAGATCGATCTTTTGTAAGTAATCCATTACTTTTACTTGTTTTGCGTTTCTTTTCTTTTTAAATGCTTGTTTATTCTTTCACTTTAGTTGATCTAAGAAATCCCCAACTGTTAATCCATTTTTCTTTTACTCATCCATGTTAAATTCAAAGCTACTCTTTTTTGGTTGATCTTTACATTTGTTTAACATAGCTTTCATCATTGATAATGGCCACTGCATCTGTTCAACGACCTTGGTGGACGTATGATGTCTTTGTAAGTTTTAGAGGTGAAGATATCCGTAAAAGCTTTATGGATCATCTATTCCAACATTTTGAACAAAAAGGAATTCATGTGTTTAGAGATGACACAGATCTCACCCTAGGCGAAAAGATATCTCCTAATCTCGACAAAGTCATTCAAGAATCGAGGTTTCTGATGGTTGTCTTCTCTAAAAATTATGCATCTTCGTCATGGTGTTTGAGGGAACTTGTAGAAATCCTCGACTGCAAGGAGGCGAGAGAGCACAAGCATGAGGTTCGAATGATCTTCTATGACGTGAAGCCTGATGTGGTGAGGAAACAGACTGGGAGCTATGCACAAGCGTTTGCCAAACATGAGATTTCAAATAGAGCAGAGGTTGCTAAATGGAAAGAAGCTTTGTCCATGGGTGCCAACTTATCTGGATGGGATCTCCATGACATGGCAAATGGGTAAACTTTTTCCTTAGTATAATGATTTATATCTAGTCAAATTAACAAGGGGCCATATCATTTGAATTTCATTAAGTAGCTGTTTTTCTCCCTAACCAATTCATCTAGTAACTTTATTAGAACCAATTATATACATTTGGGGTTCTTTCTGGTCAACAGGTTTGAGTCCAAATTCATTGCTAGCATCTCCGAAGAAATCCTAAAAGCATTATCTCGTGAACCTTTGCATGTCGGCCATAACCTTGTAGGGGTGGATGCCCGTATAAAGAAAATGAACTTGTTACGATTTGTTCACTCAAACAAGGTTCACATGATTGGAATATGTGGCATTGGTGGAATAGGAAAGACCACTTTTGCCAAAGCCGTTTATAACCTCATGTATATCCACTTTGAGGAATGTAGCTTTTTGGATGATGTCCAAGGAGCCACAAAACAACATGGACTAACTCATGTCATAATGCAACTTATCAACGACATCATGAAAACAACRGATGTGAGGATATCCAACATTGGTCAAGGAATTATGGTAATGAAACAGAGGATGGCATCTAGACGGATCCTACTTGTTGTAGATGATGTAGATCATCGTGATCAGTTAGAAGCACTATCAGGTTCATGTGATTGGTTTTTCCCAGGAAGTTTGATTATTTTCACTAGTAAAGACAAGCAATTGCTAAGGTCTCATAAAGTGGATGAAATCTATGACATGGAGTTTCTCGATGATTTTGAATCTCTTGAGCTCTTTAGTTTGTATGCTTTTCATGAACAACATCCTACTAAAGACTTTGAAGAACTTGCTTTGCAAGTTGTGCGGTATGTGAAAGGTCACCCCCTTGCCCTCAAGGTCTTGGGATCTTTTCTTTACGGAAAAACTGTGAAGGAGTGGAATAGCGAATTGGACGAGCTCCAAGTATATCCTAATGAAGAGATACAACGGGTGCTTCGGTTAAGCTTTGATGCGTTAAGCCCTCAACAAAAAAACATCTTCCTTGATATTTCATCTTCATTCATTGGTGAAAATAAAGATGACGCAACAACTATACTAGATGGTTGTAATTATCATACAAATACAAATATCAAAGTTCTAGTTGACAAGTCATTACTTGTCGTTTCTCGCATTGGGTTGCTTGAAATGCATGACTTGATCCAAAAGATGGCAAGGGAAATTGTACGCGAAGAGTCCAACACCGTTGGGAAGCGAAGCAGGTTGTGGATTTCATCGGAGGTGTATGATGTATTGAATGAAAACGAGGTAAGAAGTGGCATATGATTATTTTTGGTATATGTCACTCTTTTCGATCTAAACTATATGTTCCATATTCTTTTTACTTGGATCTAGGGAACAGAAGCAGTTGAAGTCCTTCACCTTTTGCAAAAGGAATATTGTCTGAAGGTTCACATTGATGTTAAAGCTTTTGCACATATGAAGAATTTGCGGATCCTAAAAATATGTGATGAAGAACTCAGACGCCTTCGGCATGCATTTGATTTGAAGTTGTGGAAGGAATCTAAGGTGAACTACCATGGGAAGTTGAAATTTTTATCAAATAAGTTAAGGTTACTTTATTGGCATGGATTCCCTTTCAAGTGCTTCCCTTCAGATTTCTATCCAGAAAACATTGTTGCCATCGATTTGTCTTACAGCCACATCAAAAATCTTTGGACATCGCCTAAGGTACTTATTTTGTTTTGAGTATGCATTCCTTCTATGTTTTTAATACCTGGAGATCTAATTAAGTGTTTTCCTATTTGTCCTTGATGTTAGTGTTTTGAAAGGTTGAAAGTGATGAAGCTAAGGCATTGTCATAACCTAACAAGTACCCCCAATTTCACAAGGATCACAAATCTCGAAGAACTCATTCTTGAAGGTTGTGTGAGTTTGGTTAAAGTCCACCCGTCTTTTGGGATGCTCAAGAAGCTTGTTGTTCTAAATATGAAAGATTGCAAGTGTTTTAGGAGATTCCCTTGCAAAGTCGAAATGGATTCTCTTGAAGTTGTGAATCTTTCGGGTTGCTCAAAACTGGACAAACTTCCTAAATTCTTTGGCACAATCCAAACTCTGAAAGAGTTTTGTATCAATGGTACCGCCATAACGGAACTTCCTTCTTTTGTATTTTCTCAATACAACCTTCAAGTATTGGGATTTGGTCGACATGAGAAGAGGATCCGATCTAGATGGTGGGCTTCAATTTCTCAACCTTCACGGTTACCAAGTAAGATGCAACATCCCCAAAGTCTGGTAATGCCTTCGTTGGCGAATTTATGTTTCTTACGAACATTAAATCTTAGCTACTGCAATATATTGGAAGTGTCTGATAGCATTGGAGGCTTATCATGTCTAGAATCTCTATACTTGGATGGGAACAACTTTACTAGTTTACCTGGATGTTTGAGTCAACTTTATCGTCTTACATCTTTTTACCTTTTTGATTGCGAGAAGCTGGAAATGCTTCCAGAACTTCCACCTAACCTTCAGATTCTTGATGCATCTTTTTGCACCTCCTTACAACAACATCCACCTAGCAATTTTAATATTCAATCATCCTTAGTCATGTATTTTGACGGTTGTCCAAAATTGTTTAGGAATGTTAGTATTGAAAGCCAAGTTTGTATGTGGCAGCCTCTACTTGGTCTTAACTCATCTATAACCTTCCACTGTTGTAGAACCCAAATCTCTTTTTTGCTTCAGTTTATCGAGTTCCCAAGTAACACACGTGGAATCTTCGGTGGACAAGACGATTACGATTTGGATATACAATATCATGGAAATAGAATTCCACAATGGTTTATAGATACAAGTATGGGAAATCACTTACATGTCAATTTGCCTCCAGATTTCTGCTACAACAAGTTGAGGGGATTTGGATTTTGTGTTGTTTTGACGCCGAAAAGGTCTTGTGGTCATAAATATGACAACGATACACCAAGGTATCATGTGGACAACTTTGATGGGACTTCTTTGGCTTATCGATTGTTTTATTGTTCCTATGGAATCCCTAAGTCAGATATCATATGGTTTGGTTTTGAGACTCTGGTTTCTCGTGAATGGAAGGAGGCAAAGAATTTTGTTACTTTTTGGTTTGAAGATGATGATGATTTTGAGGTAAAAGAATGCGGTTTTAGACTTGTTTTTGATGAAGATATAGAAGAAGAAACGAATTTCAGTCTCATTCAAGAGCTCCCGACTCCAACACAAGAAGGAGGTACCATCCAAATGTGGAGGAATAATCGACATTTCTATTGGTCGTGGTAGCTAGTCTGAATGTATTGTGGTGATCCATATGTTAAAGCTTGGATGTCATTGATTGTAATATAATTTTGTCATTTTTTCCTCCACAATTGTAAATTGTATTCAGTATCATAACTATGTGTAATGAAAACTGTCCCTGATTTATATCAGTAATTTGTTTCAATTAACTCTTAATTTTTTTTCCAAATATATTTTAATTAATTTTCAACATGTTTGTTTAAATCATGTAATGTTATGATCTATTCTATTAACTAGTTTTTACCAAATATGACTCATTCATCATCTATTTTATTAGGCAACAGTTTGTTTTTTTGGCTAGTTTATATCTGTAACGCCCCCATTCCAAAGGAAGGGGGTTAACAGGTATATAAAACCTCCAAAATAAAGTCTCCAATAGAATTAATACTCCGACAAAAATGATTTCAGATGTCTCCCAATAATTCAACTAAAACCAAACATACTCTTGAAGAAAAACGCTAGTCTAATTACAAATGAAAGAAATCAAATACTAGCACAAACATCAATAAACCTCTTGCAATCGAACCTCGTATACTCTCCTTCCCGAAATCTTGGCAACCCCCTTTAATTACCTGCTGTGAGGAAGAAAAGAAAACATGGTTGAGCCAAATGCGCGGTGCACAGATAAACAATCATAATATAAAAATGTATTACTAGCATGCAAAATTTGGGTTCAAGATGTAAGGCAATACGGGTACAAAATCTTGAAGAAACCATTAAATATCGTAATCAGACAAGTAATATATGAAGGGACAAATTGAGCTTGCGAAACGCATACACTTGTATATCAACCGATAGAACAAGTGCCAGACATATGACCACACAGACATGTGCATTGGATTGCAAATCCACACATACTAAACGTGAGATGCGGCGTTGGGAACTACATTGACATCCACCCTACCAAAAATCATGTGCTAGGGCTAACCCATCGCCTCCTAAATCTAATATCCATCACACCAAAATAGCTCTCACAAGAGCACAAAAGTGGAGATGTCGTGGACTAATCACACTGTCACGATTAATGTCACGTCATCGGTGACACAATGACGTGCCTATGGTACCACCAGGTGGTTAGTAGCTCGACTTACCTGGAATTAACTTGTCACAACGAATGTGACGTCATATAATCTCAATTAAGAACGAAACGTATCGAAATCGAGTGAATAAACAAACATAAGGAAAGTAAGAAAACGTTGATCGAACAAGTAGTTGTAACAATCAAGATGGCTCAAATAAAGATATATAATCGATTACAAGTACAACATGGTACATTTAGAGGTACAAAAATCATACTAAAATGCTACCGAACCATTAAACATAATCTTTTGGAGAAAACACATATTTGTACCAACCCAACCGACTTAAATAGCGTGATTAAGACGAGTCGTCTCTGCCATCTTGTATAACGTAGAACAATTACGAGTGAACGGAAATACGTGGTAAGGGACAATTTGAATAAACATGAGTTAAACGAAAGCTTACGGGTTCAATAAACATATTTAAACGAATTATATGAACGAAAAGGCTTAGGAATCCGTACCTTAAGCTTCACTAAGCTTATCAATTCCCCAAGTCTACTATGGCTTCTAAGGGTGCGTTTGGTACGTTGGACAGGGTGGGACAGGACAGGACAGAACACAATTGTTCTATGTTTGGTGTGGTTTTATGTGGGACTAACTAGAACAAGGGTGGGACAAGGTTGTCCACTCTTTACCCATGGAACTAAGTAGAACAAGAAACTTTTACCACTTTACCCTCAAAAACCTCATACGCATAACTTCCTTCTTCCCCTTCACTCTCCTCTCCTCCATCACTTCCACCGCTCAACCGGCGACCGGTGACGGCGACTTCCGATGGCCGCCGCTGCTGCTCCTCCGATGGCCGCCGCTGCTGCTTCTCCGATGGCCGCCGCTGCTGCTTCTCCCGATGGCCGCCGCTGCTGCTTCTCCCGATGGCCGCCGCTGCTGCTTCTCCCGATG